TAAATTGCAGAGGATATGTATCTTTTGCTCTGTGAGGTACAGCAATAAACAAGTCGTGTATGGTTTGCTCACAAGTATTGTCTTCAGCAGCTTTTGTGTGGACATCCTTTCCCCCTTTCTGCCTTCTGCCTGCATCATCTGTCAGACCTGATGAAATGCTGTTCTTGAGCATGAGCCCTGTTAGTTGTTCTAGAGTCTCACATTTAAATCCAAAGTATTACCAAGTTTCTTTGAATTGTCTGTGGAAAGGTGTTACACATTCACATGGAGCACTTTGGATTGCAGTTGCTGCTGTCGGGTCTCAGAGTTGAGACTCTGCTGGTTCTTTCTTCTTCCCGTCTCCCCTTTGCTTCAGCCTTGCCCCCTCCCCATACTTTCTGCTCCACCAGCAACCCAACAAACTGGCTGTCTTTGGTGGTTTGTTACGCCGTAAATCATGTTGCAGAATTGGAATTTTAAAACAGGTAAAATGCCTCAGCAGGAGCGAGGCAAACTTTTTTGCTGTTAAATGTACTGTTAATGAAAATGTTAGGTATAGCAGTTCTAGCAGGAAGATGTTGAAAGCTTTTTGTCATCTCATTGAGACTACCTGAAAAATTGCTATTAAAATAATTTGGGTTTTAACTACTTAATTTGGATTGGAGGAAGCTGGTAACAGATGCAGTTTGAATATACTTACAGCAGTAAGAACTGAAACTTTAAAAAGAGCAATATAGAGGGAGGGTGCAGGGGAGTGGGTTGTTTTGTTATTGTTAGGTGTATATATATGTACAGAATCATGTAACAGATGAGCAACACTTAACGTTTCTTGTACAGTTACCGGTTTGCTAAATTCCACAATGAAAATGTCACAAAGTGTTTTGTAGTTGTTTGTTAGAATGGCATTTCTAAGAGTTGTCTTCCTGAGTGGTTCGTGATTTAGAAATATTTTATAGCTATTTAATGTATGATGTGGGGTTTTTTTCCTTGAGATAACAGATAAGAAGCATTTTTACTCTAGTTTTGTTCCATTAGTTTCCATCAGAGTGCTGTAGAGGCAGTGTATATTTGTTCTTCTGATAGCTGTAGCGACACAGAAGAAAACCTGATGAAATGCTTCTGTTTATACAGGAGTTGTATATGTTTTTATTAATATTCAGAACATGGCTGTTAAAACTTTGAGCCCCTTTTACATGACTGTTCAGACCACTGCTATTAAGTTGAGCTGATTTGCTGACAGTTACTGGCATGCTAATCTTTATGGTCTAAGTAAATATGGGAAACACCAGGGTTGAATTCCTGAGCTGCTGAAACATGTGGAATGGGGACAGGAAAACTGTTTGTGGGAATATCTGTTAACACTTAGTAAGGTCTACATTTTGGCTTATTCTTTTGGAATATACTTATGGAATTCTTTTAGAGTATACTTGTGGAAGTGGAGAAATGTTCTGTTAGAAAAAATGTCTGTAGTGCACCACTGGAGTGAACACTAGACTTGAAGTCCTTAGCAGGCTACCAAAAGCTATGATTCAAATACAGTCCTATTTGAATGTTAATATTTTCTGTGTGTCATTTTATATATTTAGAATGTTATTTTGTATACCTTCCACTAATAAGTGATAATAATATCAGTTAAACTTAAGGATTTTTACTTCTCCTTTGCAGTGCACTATTTTAGTGCTATCCAACTTATTAGGGAGAAACTGAGATGAGTTTCTTTTAAGACGAGAATGTAAAATTAGCAGATTTACTCTTGTCTTTAAACATTTTCCCCCCTTTTTTTTTTTGGCCAAGACGTATGTGGTGGTCATGAATAGGAAGTTTTAGGACAGGCAGAATGAACAGGCCATACATTCGGTTGAAAGCCTTTTTAAGAAACAACACTGTTAGTTAAATTGTATTTTTCGAAATTAGCAGAGATTTTTTTATCTGTAAGTTGTAAAACAGAAGCCTTGTGTAACAGTTGAGGGAACATAGTCTATTTAATTTTACCTGGAAAGGTCATTGCACAGTAGGAGATTGTTGCCTGGATATTCTTGATGCTATCTCTTTGGAAATGGGTCAGTGTATATTCCAACATGAAGCTTTGGGGTTTGTCTTGCTTACACTGCAATCTTCTGTGGCTGAGGCATGCATGTAACCTTCTGATCTTTACTGCCTGATGAGGTTTGTGCTGATGCACCAAGTACAAGAAGATCTAACAAAGAACATCTCTGCCCCTATATTGCCGCTGCTGCTGCTCACTTCTTAATACAGAAAAATAGTCCTGGGAAGACTCTTACCTGCTCCAGGGGCAGCAAGATGGAATTCTGCGTAGGGTACCATGTGTTAGAAGTTCCTGCCCCAGAAGTACTGTCAATGGCGATGGGAGAAAGACAGCTCCATCTTCTTGCTCTGCCACTTAATATTTCTCTTTCATGTACAACTTGAGAACTAGGTTTTTATCCAAGAATGGTCTTTTTTTACATTTTACATTTTTTACATCAGATAACTGCACATGTTTTTAGGAGACTTGTGTAAGTTGTTTACTGTAGTTGCAGTCACATACTCTTATATTTTTCTTTCCATGTCTCTTTTCTTGGACTCTTTTTATTTCACACACCACAAGAAAGAAGGGGATTCCTCAGTTTTTATAGTAGCCAAAGGGTTTGGAGGGAAAGAATTTTAGTTCCCTTCTCTGAAAGCATTTATTCTAAAAAATAAACAATTTATTCCTTAGATCCTGACTCAAATTTATGCTAATGACAGTAGCTTACAACATCTGCTGGCGGGGAGATAAGCTGGTAACCATCAGCAGTCAGAACACCAATTCATATGCAATTCTATGAGTCCATGCAGTAGTTTACAAGCCTGAAAATCGTCAATAACTTTTCTTGATTCCGTGTCTTTGGTCTTATTTTTACAAACTGCCTGAAAACTCTGAGTCCCAGTGACAATAGCATGGAGTGGCAATCTAGCAATTCATCAGCCTTCAGACAGGTGAACAATGTAATAAATCTTGCAGAAAATAATCTGTTAACTCCAAGCAGACTATGTGACTGCTCCAAGTCTGTTTTCTGCAAGTGAAGCTCCACTTGACAGGTCTACTTGCTGCCAATAACACCAACACTCTGCAGATTCTTGAATTAGGAAGGTAGAAGAACACTAAGGTTCAGATAGGTTTGCTAGGGAATTAAGCTTGTCAGGTTATATCTTTGTCTCATTTGTAGACAAATATGTTATGCTTTCCCTTCAGTCTTTATTTGTATGGTTTCTACTTGCTTTGAGAAGCAATCACTTCGGGTTAGAAAGACTCAGGTAGTGCCAGAGATCCTCATGAAATAACTAGTCATTAATTGCACACAAAGTTCACAACTGCTGCTGCTCCTCTCACAAATTGCACTATAGTAATAGGTAGGGGAAAGAAAGTTTAAAAAAAACTCTTTTGATGACCTCCTGCTTATCTGCTTCAAGTGCTTGCTTTTCCTTCTTTATGTGAAAACCATAGGTTTTAAAAAGCTGTTAAGACACTTGTTTCTGATTTACAGAATTTGCGTGGTGGGAGGGGAAGCTGATGCAAGAGGAACTGTTAAACTTCATTTTCAGGCTTTACCAATTGTCAGGTGTATGTTGGCAATAACCTCTGCCTTTCTGAAGCTTGCTAGAAATAGGATTTGGAAAGCTTGCTTTCTTAACCCTGTCATAAACAGGATTAATTTATCTCAATACCTAATTTCTAACTCTCATGGGAGAAAGAGGAATTAAGTGTTTGAAATTTCATTTTGTTCCTGTTGCTCGAAGGACAAATGGCTGCAATTTCACATTCTAAGAGAAGGTAATTTTTCATTAGTGGAACTGAAGGAGAGCAGATACGTAACAAATACATTTAAGAAATGAATCTTTCTAATCCTCTGCTGTCACTCCAGGATCCTTACGTGTCCATTGCTCAGACCTTAGCTTCAGCTTCTGGATCTGAAACAGCTGTACTGTTTATCCATGCTTAACCTATTGCTCTCTGACTTAGGACAGATTCTTTCTGGGTAACTTTTGCTCTGTTTACCATTCTTTTTCACAGGAAGCTCAATGGTTGATCAATCTCCACTGGGAATTTACTATTGCTTCACTTCGTTCATAGAACAGCAAAAATTATTCTGACAGATATTTAAAGATAAATTCGGTTCTGCTGAGACATCATTGTTGAGTGGCACTTACATAACGATCTGACTAAAAAACAACCTAAAGTGTTTGATCAGCTGAGCTTCTAAACAAGTAACTGCTTATTAATTTTCTTAGTAATAATGGATTATAATTAATGGTATAAAGCCATGCACAATATACAGCAAGAACAGTTACCTAGGTAAAACAACAGAAAACTAAGCTCTGAGTCTCTGTTTCTGTATGCAAGTTATTTGGCCAAGATATTATTTTCACATGACTGGTTAAAAGGGTACAATATGTGTTCACTTCACTGGTATGTTAGTGCTTTGGACAGAAGGCAGTGCTAGTGTATATCTCTGTAAATATAAATTTTTCAGTGTGAAAATAAAGCAATGCTTTGTTGGAAATAAATAAGCAAACATCAAGCTGGCACATACATTCTGCTTTCACACTGAAGATTCCCTCAGTTCTTGAAAGAATAGGTTTCTATTTAAGAATAGTCCTAATGGAGGCTTTATAGTTTTCATTAGCATTTTTGTCTGTGTGCCATTGCCATTTGATCAGGAAACTTTTGGGGAAAAATCACAAATATTGGAGAAGATTTTTGTTGTTTCATTCTTTGTATAAAAGATATACTCTGCACTTTACCCTTCTTAAGTTAGGAAAAAAAATGCATTTGACAGTTTTTACTTTACTGAGTTATATTGTCTATATTTAGAATGTCTGCATCAGTAGTTTGAAAATATCTTGAAATCTTTCCCCCTGCTCTAAACTTACATGTGAAAGCGTAGACTGTGTGTAGTGTGCACAGTTTTATTTCTGATGCTTTGCTCAGAGGTATGTAAATGTCCAAACATGCTTTCTAAATGAGAAGGCTTTGGTTTTATGTGCCTTGGTATCAAGTGTGTTTGTTTTTTGTTTGTTTGGATATTTCTTTTAGGTTAAAAAGTTGTATCATCTCAGGGAAGCAGTAGCCTATCGTGGGTTTCTTGGAGCAGCAACTCAGACCAATAATGAGCAGATGATACCAGTTAAATCGTGTCTGGCAGACAACATCATCACAGTGGCAACACCGCACAAGCAACATCAGAGAGCAGGGGACTTTTGTGTTCCCAAGTCAGTGGGAAACATGCCCAGTATCTCAGCTGCCAAAGTGGCTGCAGTTTCTACATAGATCTCTATAGATCTTGTAACCATGTCTGTTAACACAACAGCGAATGATCCTCCTAGATTCTTTGTGGGTGGAGAAGATGGAGAAGAATTATTGGATTCAGCCAGATCTACAGATTATGAACACTTCTATGACCATGGGGAAGAAGAGGAGGAAGAGTATGACTCTGTATGTACTGTAGGGGCATGTGTGTACCATTCTGTGTGTTTTCTAGCATTATTTTACTTTGAAATGGCATTAGATCACAGAAGTAATACTGAAATGGTGTTCTGAATTGGGAAATTGTTCATATTCAGATAATGATCTGTCAGTTATGTTTGGAAATGCAACACACTTGAAAAGTAAGTATACCGTGAACTTTAAAGTAGATATGCTTGACCTTAATACAGAGTTCCAGGGCAGCTGATGTTGATGTGTTGGTGTATAGAAAGTGCATGCTAAATTAATCTTAAGTTATACCTTAGTTTATTATCCTTGCAGAGTGTTCTGAATTGTATTTTAGCACTGTGCTTACCGATTTTTAGTTTGTTTAAGACAAACTTAATTTTATTATGCATGAATTGTCATGTCATTTTTTTTAGCTGTATTTTACTGTTCTTTTAGTCTGTAACATTTCACTTTAGGGAATAGTCAGATTGAGTTTTCAATGATTGCAAGCATGTCTAAAAAATTTAAATGCAAGGAAGTGTTAATAAAACAACAATTAAAAGTAATTTGGAAATGTAGAGAAGTAGTGCAAAATTAGCAGCTCAGCTCAACTGAGTCACTGTATTTTAGCAAGGGAAGGTAATTGGCTATGTTTTAATAGAACAGTAAGATGAAATAAAGGATTGTTCTGGGGTTTTGTTTTTTTCGTTGTTGTTTGTTTCTTTTTAAACAGAGGAGTGGGTTGGCTGTTGCACTTAATACTACTTGGGGAAAGAAATTTTTAGAGGTTATAACATGAAAGAAAATATAGAGTATACAGAAGAAAAGTAAAACTGTCTATGCACAAAGTAGCTCAGAAATCTACAATGGTATTTACTGGCTTACTAGTTTTCCTTTTCATAATTCAGTTGTAATATTAGGTAATGAGATGAGAAGCCTTGTGACTACTAAGTAGATGTAAAAAAATTACAAATTTATAGTTTAAAAATGTAGTTTAAACTTATAGTTACAAAAATTATATTTTAAAATTGAATTGCTAGTTAATTTCAGAGTAAGCCATAAGTATGATTTCAGTCAGATTTGACATTTCTGACTAGATTTTGATCCTGTGTATTTGTTCCTGATAAGATACTCACAAAAAGTAGTGTAGAGCTATTGAACAGTTTCATTTTTTGAGGCATTTTTTCATAAGGCTGCAGTGTGCCATGCTGTCATGCTGCATTTTGTTAATTGCTAGCAATTTACCTGATTAAACACTAAATTAAAGGTAGTACATGAATTTAGTGGAAAATATCTGCACTAGTATTGTGCTGCTAAGTGTGTTCTGAGAAAACTTAAAAATAATAATTGCTTTCTTCCCCTCCTCTTCAGCCACCAGAAAGACAAATTGCAGTTGGGATTTGTTCAATGGCTAAGAAGTCTAAGTCCAAACCAATGAAAGAAATTCTTGAACGCCTCTCCATGTTTAAGTACATAACTGTGGTAATATTTGAAGAGGATGTTATTTTGAATGAGCCAGTAGAAAACTGGCCTTTATGTGACTGTCTGATTTCTTTTCATTCTAAAGGTAAATCTTCTAATAATACCATAAATATTTTTGACATATAAATATTTTAATCAGTTTGAGGGTCTTTTTTTTTTTCTTGTAGTTTTATTGGATTTTCTTAGAAAGTGATTCATTTGTCTTGTTTAATATCATACAACTAACTTTTGAAATACAAGCTTTTTCATTGCTTGAGAAAATCCTGTCTGACATGGTATTTAAAATAGCTGTTCCATTGTTAAATATTTGTGGCGCCAGTGGAAATGGTGTTCTAATACTTACTTGGTCCAATAACCGTGAAGGCATACTTACTTTCTCAATGGGAGTGTTAGGTCTCTGACCACTTGTTCATGTATCTCTGCTAATACCTAGATTTTTTTTGTGGGACTTGGCAGTGAAGCAAAGATGAGTAGGCTGAAGTTAAAAATCATATTTTCAGGCAGAGGTAATAAAAGCTTTAGTTCTGGCCCTATGGAAGTGTAGGGCATGCAAAGTGAGGAGGAGGGAATTGGAAACAGGACCACTACTTTTGGCAGCCTATACTGAAATGAGGCTGTAGTTTCATGCTTGTCTTAAGCTGATGTTATGTGTGTCTATAGCTGAGGGAGCATCCTCTCAACTTAAGCCATATCTCTGGCTGTACTCTAAAGCTTGAATATGAAGGTTCCAAACTATTTACTGATGTTGTGTCTTGTAGTTCTAATTTATTTGCCTTAATAAATATTTTAGGATTTCCACTGGACAAAGCAGTTGCCTATGCAAAACTCAGGAATCCATTCATAATCAATGACTTGAATATGCAGTATCACATACAAGACAGGTAAGTAACACTAATAGCAGACTACTTTTAAGTCAGAGAATCTGTTGTTATTGCATAGCAACAGTTTGAGCGTATTGTACAGTAGTCTAAATAAAATTACAGTGAATGTTATGCTTTATTAATGTATGCATAGTTTTCTGGGATATGTCTTTAGGAGTGTTTTTTCTTTTACTGCTTTTATATTGATACATCTGAAGGTTTACCAAGGTAGAAATTTGGTGATACATTTGTCTAAAGCTTAGCAAATAAAAAAGTTTAAACTCTGAAAATATGTATAGCGTAGGTATGTATAGCAACTGTAGAACCTCCTGTAATTGTAGAAGTCATGTGAATTAGCAAAGGTCTTTTTTTCTCTTAAGTGGATATTTAACAGAATCTGTTGGTATTCAAAGACTGTGTGGTTATTCAAAGTGAATTTTCTTCTGGAACTGCAATCATGCATAGCAAATATTAACAAAACAGTAGTGAGCAAAATACATAAACACTGAAGCCTTCTAAACAGTGAGTAGACTTGCTGCTTTGGATGCCTTCAACTGCTGTCCTGTATAAACTTTTTCAACCCTTCATGTTAATAATCTCCTTTAAGAAGAGAATTGTTGTTCTGCATATGTAAATTGCTGTTGCACTGCCAGAGTGGGGAGGACAGGAGTGGCATAGCAAATTACATTTTTATTGATATTGATGAGCTCACTGCAAAGGTACAGCTGTGTCAGTGACCTTTAAAGCATTATTTTAATAAGTAGAGTATTATATATGTAATCTTATCCTGTGTGATTTTAAAAACAAAATTGTATGTATTTTTCTCCTCCCTTACTCATGGACTGTAAAATACAAATATTGGCAGGATTTGCTGTCTTACTGTGCAACTTCTGTTCTTTTCTTCTAGGAGAGAAGTATATGGTATTCTTAAAGCTGAAGGCATTTTACTTCCTCGCTATGCAGTTCTGAACCGTGATCCAAACAATCCCCAAGGTAAAAACTGATGACTGAAATACCAAGCATTGGCATCTCTTTATTTCCACTAGAGAACAGTACATGCATAGCGGAATGCTATATCTCACTTGCTAGACAATTAATTCATGTGTGCAGAGGTTGATTTCTCCTCCAGAATTTAAAGTATTGTTGTGGATTAACCCCTACTGGCTGTGAGGGCAGTACGTGAACCAGAAAAGGCTTCGAGGCTGTATAAGTGCTGTTCAGCAATAACTAAAACAGCAAGACTGTTTTGGTCACAAATTCAAAACATAGCACCATACCAGCTGTTGTGAAGGAAATTAACTCCATCCCAGCCAAAGGCAGTACAAGTATGCTTCTGAAAAGCATGATTCTGGAGCCTGGGGTCACAATCCTCTTACAGCCATCATAGAACAACTAGAATATAAGGGCCTCCAAACTCAAACTGAGATTCTAATATGTCACCAGAGAGCAGCATTCATGATGTTACATTAACCACAATAATTAGTAATTTTATCTAAGAAAGTAATATTGACAGAAACAAGTCAGACTATTGAATACTTTCCCTTCTAAGCACAAGCAACTTACATGTAAGGGAAAACTAGTCCAGACAGATTTGCACATGATATACTCTGAATATAAATGGGAATTAATTTTTTCTGTACCTGAAAACAAACTTAAAAGCTTTTTCTACTAAAATGAGAACTTACAGCAACAATAGGAGATTGCAATGACAGGTCAAGGCACAAGAGTAAGAGATAAGAAAAAATAAAGAAAATTGAAGTATTACTGTAGTGAAGCTCTTAAGAGGTAGGGAATTTTAGGTTAAAATATCTGCATAATCCAGGGGGGAAAGGATTCATTTATGCTTTTTATTTACTCTTCACTACTGCAGGCAGCCAACTAGTAGTGAAGAGATTCCTGACCCCTGATTCCAGAGGACCTAATCCTCTGTGCAAGGTGCATCAATCACACAGTATGAGACTGTTCTTAGCCAGTTAAAAGTACTATTGCATCTGGCACTACACCATGTTCACTGTCCATCTGCCATCCCCCTGATATTTCAGAGAAAGGCACTGAAGAAAGACACAAACAGCCCTACCCCCATCTTCAAAATATTTAAAAAAAAATACCACCCATGCAAGCTTACGCACCTGTAGGAGACAATTTCCTGTCTGACACTGAGGGAATCAAGAGAAATCCTGGAACATAGTCTTGAAGTAATATAATATAGACACGGTACAGCAGACATGTTCAGCACATGATCATCAAGTCTTTGTGCAGTCAGTAACAAATCAGTGAACCAAAAATACAATATAATCTTTTTAATTCAACCTACAACATTACCCCGAATCCCAATCATTTCATTCCATGAATATATTATTACATCTCTGTTGTTCACACTGTTTCTTCAGAATGCAACTTGATTGAAGGAGAAGATCACGTGGAAGTGAATGGAGAAATTTTCCAAAAGCCTTTTGTAGAAAAGCCAGTTAGTGCTGAGGACCACAATGTTTACATTTATTACCCAACATCTGCTGGGGGTGGAAGCCAGAGGCTCTTTCGAAAGGTGAGGTTATTGTACTATTGAAAAGCTATTGAAAAGTTGTAGGTGTCTAACAGAATTGTGGAGTAATTCTGTCGTATGCATATGTTAGCTGGGACCTGTTTTGTCATGTCTTGCTTGTGTAGGAATAGTGGCAGATCAGAGAAATTCATTTCAGAACATGTAGATTGGATGAAGACCTTTGTTCCATGCAGTAGACTGTCAGCCACTGCAGATTATTATAGGTAAAAGAAAGCATACACTGTGAGTGCACTTTTAGAATCTTACAAAAATCTTTTGGGAACGATCAAAACCTACTTGCTTCATTTGGTACAGGAAGTGTTTCCTCAGTACAAGTGTGTTACTTTAAAGAGTTTAAAGTTTCTCAGGCAGTAGCCTACGAGTTTATTAATAGAAAAATATTCATTTCAGATCGGCAGCAGAAGCAGCGTTTATTCCCCTGAAAGCAGTGTGAGAAAAACAGGCTCCTATATTTATGAGGAATTCATGCCTACAGATGGCACTGATGTGAAGGTATGACAACTGCGCGTTCTTAGTTATATTTAGAACAATCAAGTGCTCCAAGAACCTGTCAGTTTTAAAGATGAAGGTATACCTTTGTGTCAAGGATTAATTTTAATGAAGTTTTGATACAGCTCATAAGTATAGAATGTAATTCTTATTCTAGCTAAACATGGTACTTGTAATGTAGAGCAGCTTTGCTTATGTTGTTAGAATTGAGTGCTGGAAGCTTATTACCCAACACATTGTCTTTCTTTTTTGTATTGTATTAGTGCCAGAACAGCGTATACTTTCCTGTTTAAACAGATGTTGCCTAGATATTTTGTCTGAAGGTTACAAAGAAACCTGTAACTGTAGTAGATTTTACCAACTAGCATAGTATTCTAATTAATAAACAAAAGTTACTAAAATTATATGAAGTTGCAGAAAATAATGCATTAACCTTATCTGTAATTATTCTCACTCTTGTTCATTTATTTTCTTAACAGCTGTAAAGATTAGGTATCATAAAAGAATGCTAAAATAGAGCAATAACAGAATAGGTGTTAAGCCAGCCAGTTATGGAGATTATTTTTTTCCCTTTGTGTTAGTTTGGCTATTTTAAGCCCACAAAACGTATGAAACAGATGGTTTACAATATGCATGAGAGCTCACCATATTTATACAAAAAGTAGAGGTTTAGAGAGTGTGAGATCTAATCCAGTCTTAGGCCAAAGAGCCCTTTATCACTAGCAGTCAACTTCTTCCACTTGTTGATACATGAGGGGAATGCTGGTTTTATGCTCTCAGACAAATTCTAGGTTTTTTAAGTTACTATTTTTTCTTGAGCTGTACTCTTCAGATGGTTATACTGTGCAACACTTTGCAATACATTAATCTGAGTTTACAGATGTCTGTGTTAAGAGCTTTACAAACTGTTTCCACAAAGAAAAATTTCTTGCAACCTGAAGAGATATGAATGACTTGAGGGGTGGTGGACTGTTTTGACTACTTGTAGTGTAGTCATCAAGCAGCAGCTGTGGACTTTTAACACCCCAAATACATAATGGATTTTCTTCAAGTAACAAGACTGTCAGCTTTATATTAGGCAGATTCACCCAACTTGTTGAATACTTTTTTTATCAAAGTTTAGAGTTTTGTTTTTAATTAAAGTGACAGTAGCCCATTTTTGAAAGCTGCTGACAAGACTCTTCTAGCATATGCCCCAATCCTTTCAGTGAGATTCGAAACTATATGGCAAAGTAGATAGCACAATCATTCTCTCAAGACCCTGCCTTGTCATGCTAAAGCTGGGCAGATCTTTGCTTGATTTAGTCCTGCCTAAAATTTTGAAAATATTTTTAAAGGAAGGGAATCACTTAGTCCTGCAGCCAGATTTCTATTATCAAGTAAACTGAAACAATTCTCAAATTAATCTGCTCTCCAAGTTCTGCAGATGTTTTGGAGAGGAAAACATTATTTTTTACCTCTGTACCACCATAATGAAGACACTAATTTTTATTCATCAAGTTTTATAATCACTATTTTTCTTTACCTGTGCTCCAGCTGTTTTCTTCTCTTGCTTTATCCTAGGTTGTCAGTAAATGATGGGTGTTCTCTGAAGGCAGAGAATGCCATTGAGGAAGGTACTTTAGAGTGACCTTTTCAATGATGAAAGCAGCTAGTATCTTTTGAAGTCATTATCACATTTGAGATAAATTTAGCAAAATATATGCGTATATGTAGTGTAATTTAATTACACTGAATAAAGAGTTCCTGTTTTTCAATAAAGGTGTACACAGTAGGTCCAGACTACGCTCATGCTGAGGCCCGGAAGTCTCCAGCTCTGGATGGCAAGGTAGAACGAGATAGTGAAGGAAAAGAAGTGAGGTATCCAGTCATCCTGAATGCAAGAGAGAAGTTAATTGCTTGGAAAGTATGCCTTGCCTTTAAAGTAAGCTGATTACTTTCCTATCTGATCAAACATTTAGTGTTAATTAATTGTTTATTACATGAAACTTCCATAGGGTTTTAGTGCACAGAGCCAGCAGTGATAATTGCTGCAGAACTCCTAGGAAGGTGAAAAGTTAAACTTCCACATCCACACCTTTTTTTAATCTGGAAGAATTCTTCCTTTAATGCATTGAGAAGTTCTGGATGGGTTGCTTATGTTGCGTAAGTTTCCTGAATTCACATGTTACTATTGTGCTTTGCTAGTCCACAGTGTATCTGTTCTGTGCATAATATGTTCACACATTTTGTTAATGGTTTCTAAGTTAGCAAAACACAATATCAGTGAAGTTTTTTGTACCTTTTGTTACCTAATATTTACATTGGGCCCAATAAATTTTAATTTGGTACTGTCATGACTAGGTCCTTGTCTTAAGTGTCTTATAGTTTCTATTTTTGTCTAGTTTTAAGATTCCTTTGTTCAAAACTGCATTCAATCTTGTACCTTCGTTTCACCTGTCTTATTAAATGCTGTCTTTCACTCTGTCTCATTACCTGTGTGTAACTATGATGGCATTCTGGAGGCTGTAGGTTGTGAACCTCCACCACCTAGCAAAGTGGCTTTGAGATCTAAAAAAGTAATCTGTTAAAATAGCATCTGGTATCCTGTACTAATAATGTCAATATTACATCAATGTCAAAACTATCCTGTCAAATTTAAATTTGGACAAAAAATGTTTTGATCGATATTTTTCATTTCTTGCCTGCCACCCTTAAAAAGTATGTGTAGGGGGAAACCACTGTCGGAATGGGGAGTTTGTAGGCTTATGCTGTAATCTTGAAGGTTAAGTTTGTGCACATGTGAACTTGCCCTTCAACACTGATACTGCTAGGGATATGTAGGAAAGGTAAAATCAAGTTGGGGATATAAAGTTAAAAACAGGAAGATGTTTGCATGACATGAGTGAACCTAACATGGAACTGGCAAAAGGTACTAAGTATAAAATGTCATTTTTGTCATGTTTTCAGATGAATACCATGTAAAAATATAAAGTTCATTTAGAATAAGCAATCCTAAGAAAGGTGATCAATGACTTGAACTTTTATTCTTAAAAACAGCAAACAGTTTGTGGCTTTGATTTGCTGCGTGCAAATGGACAGTCCTATGTCTGTGATGTGAATGGCTTCAGTTTTGTGAAAAACTCCATGAAATACTATGATGATTGTGCTAAGATACTGGGGTAAGAGTTTACTGATTTATTTCAGGAGTTTTGCCTATTTGTTCTGTTGTATGTTTAGTTTATGTACTACTTATTCCTTGTTCCTAAATTAATTCTTTAAAATTAAATATACCATAAAATAAGGCATTAAATAATAAAATAAATAAAATAGTAAAAAGAATCCTAAATAAATTCTTTATTCATAAAATCATCCAAAACATCTGAGTCTGAGTGTTTTGTGAACACTTAAAGCTAACCGAATAAGTATTTTGAAAGCCAGATTAAGTTCTTAAAGGTAGTTGTGATTTTTTTCAAGTAGAGAAGCACCACTGGATGGATATGCTTGCTGCTGTTTAATACGTGCCCAAATTAATGTATATTGTTCTTGATGTGAAGCAGCTGTATACCTGCATATTTGTGGATTTCATACTCATAAATCCAAACAGATGTAGTATCAAGGTGTCTTCTGTCATACCGTCTTCTCTCTGCTACTGGGAGCAAAAAAAGGTATAACAAGGGATCACGTAGAATTGGGTAGTGAACTCTATGCCAATGAAATGTTGCCCTCAAAGCAGGCTGATCTCATTTTGACCCCATTACTGGCTTTACAGCGAGATTGCACTGATGAGACACAGCATGAGTTTCTGTGTTATCAGATGGTCTGGGATCTTATTAAATGGAGGAAGAACTAAGCTGAAATCCTAGACAACAACTGTAGTCCTGTTGTTTTAGGCCACTATTTTGAGTTACAGTTACAATTATCAGACCCATTTTGATTTCTCTTTATTCAAATTGTTGTAGCTGTTGAATTCTCTGAAAAAAAGTTATCTCATCATTTTTTCCTCATGCTTTATTCCTTAAGGTAATACATTGCAGTGTTAAGTAACAGCACATTTTTTTCAAGCTTTTTAGAAATTAAATTTTGGCTTATGCTACTTTAAGATGCACAGGTTTTTTTCTGCCATGTTACTGCTTCTTATGTAGATATTAATCTGAATTTCAGTATAGTTTGCTGAAATACTTGGGAAATAGAACATTAGCAAGATTTAACAACCTTCTGTAGGTGGAGGCAGTGTTATTTTGTAGTTATGACTACAGACTTTACCTATTTTCCAGTTCTATCACAGAAACTTTTGAGAAATTACCACCACTAAAGATACCAGTTACTCTTTGATGAGAATGGCTTGCTGATTATAAGGGACTTTCAGTTAGGCAGTGGAGTCAGGTGTCTGAATATTTAAATGAACAAGACTAAATCATGTCCAAAGAAGTCTTTTAGGAACTGGAGTTCAAAAACTGAGGTTTCTTACAAATCCAGGGCCATTAGGCTAATGTTGTCTCTGTAGCAGTTGTAGTAGCTTTAAACTGTTGTTTAAGTAGGTTTTTATTATACAATTAAAAGAAAAATATGCATCTAGAGACTCATGGCTGCTAGTACTCTAAAACCACATTGATAAAAATGCATGTATATGTTATCTATTTGGTTTGGAGTTTGTATGTGGTGTATAAGCCGTGCTTTAAACTTAGTGGTTTTTTTTTCTTCTTAACCCCTTTTTTAGAAATATCATAATGAGAGAACTTGCTCCCCAGTTTCAGATACCATGGTCAATTCCTTTGGAAGCTGAAGACATCCCTATTGTGCCAACCACGTCTGGAACAATGTAAGAAAATAGTAGCTACACCTGAATTGTGTGAACTCCTACTGTAACTTTTGTGTGAATTTTTTTTCTCTTCACAAGGTGTGCCCACTTTGGCCTATGAACACTTCTTTTGTGTCATGGAAACAAGGAAGGAATCACAATTACTATGCCAGCAATCAGAGTTTCTGACCCTTAGTCAAGCTGAGTACAGAATAGCAGATTTTCAAGTGTAGCATCTTATATACATAGCTTCCTTCACTGCTAATCATTGTTCCAGCACCAGCTTAATATGCACTTCTAATAAACATGCTCTCTCATTTAATGAACCTCAAAATCGTTGTTTTAAAAACTACTTAAAATAGATTTTCTGTAGTTACCCAAGTCTTAAAATCAATATTTATATTTTATACCTTACATCATTTTCAGTTAACCTTATATTCTTGCATATCCTTCCATCACTTCTGTAGTTATGTCAGATAACTACGACTTTGTCAATTGTCTTGATTTGTGGTGGTTTTAATATTAAATAAGAGACCCTCATATATAGAATTGTGAAATATAATTCTTTTGAAATTTCAGGATGGAGCTTAGATGTGTTATAGCTGTAATACGCCATGGGGACCGAACACCAAAACAAAAAATGAAAATGGAAGTAAAACATCAGAAGTAAGTAGAATCTTGGTAAAAATTAGTTTGTATGCTTTAGAGCAGAGCTTGCTTCCTGGGGGTGTGCAAACAATGAATTGAGCAGGACTTGCATTATACAAGTTGGATTTTGTTTTGTTTTGTTTTAAATCTAACTGATGTTGCAGTTAATGAACAAGTATGCACCTCTCTAACAGGACTGTCAAATTACTTGTGCAGACTTCCTTCATCACATCCTGTGCCTTGTGGACAGGATCTTCTTGATCTTAATGAAAATGCATTTATCTCTATAGCTGCCTTTATTCAAAATGATGCAGCAGAGAATATTTCTGGTTCACCATTTGACTGTGTGTGGTGGGTTGACCCTGGCTGGGTGCCAGGTGCCCACCAAAGCTGCTCTATCACTCCCCCACCTCAGCTGGACAGGGGGGAGAAAATATAACAAAAGGCTTGTGGGTCAAGATAAGGACAGTTTAATAAAGTGAAAGCAAAGGTCATGCACAAAAGCAAAGAAAAACAAATGATGTTATTCTCTACTTCCCATCAGCAGGCAATGTCTAGCCTCTTCCTGGGAAGCAGGGCTTCAGTACGCGTAGTGATTGCTCTGGAAGACAAAAATGCCCCCCTTCCGTCTCCCTTTACTTAGCTTTTATATCTGAGCTGACGTCATATGGAATGGAATATCTGTTTGGTCAGTTCAGGTCAGCTGTCCCGGCTATGTCCCCTCCCAAAATCTTGCCCTGCCCCAGCCTGCCGTTGAGGGGGGGCAAAAATGTTGGAGAGACAGCCTTGATGCTGTGCCAGCACTGCTCAGCAGTAGCCAAAACACTGGTGTGTTATCAACACCTTTCTAGCCACTGATGCAGAGCACAGCACTACGAGGGCTGCTATGGGGAGAATTAACTCCATCTCAGCCAGACCCAATGCACTGTGACTTCTGCCTTTCTCTTTTTATCATAACAGTTCTTGTGTGAGCTGTGATCTTACTGCACCATCTTTTTGCCTTTTACTTTTTCCAAAGTTTGATGACCCTGAATTTCTGGTAGATACCATCTTTATGTTAGCATTCATAAAGTACCTTACATAACTGGCCTGGAATTAGGTGCAATTTCAGTAAAAAGTAGCTACTTGTTTTGGAACTAGATTCCTGCATTCAGAGATACATGCCGTAAAAGTGTAGGACTGCTTATTTGGTATTTTTGGTCCCTACTTCTGTTCAGGATCATTCTTGAAGATTAAGAATTGACATAGCTGTATATTCAAATATTATGTCATTTGACATATAGAATATCTTCTCCCCCTTTTTTTTAACACATAGCAAGTCAGCAAGGAACTTTTTTAGTGCTCATTTCTCTAATGTGTTGAAGACTTTCCTGGGAAATAGGATTTGAATAAATGTTGGGTTGACCTCTGTAGTGCGGGTTTTAACATGCTTTTCAAATAGTGTAAAGGTGCTAATTTCAGACAGCTTTAAGTTTAAGAGCGACTTGTTCAAGTAATATTTTAACTTACTAACTGCGGTTTTTAATCAGTATTCTTTCTCTTAAAGGTTTTTTGATCTCTTTGAAAAATGTGATGGATATAAATCTGGAAAACTAAAACTGAAAAAACCAAAACAGTTGCAGGCAAGTTTGTCTTTATTTTCTTGCTGTGGTATTTTATAAGTAGAAAATGATTTATTTACGTAAATCCTATGTTTCCTTTCTTTAGGAAGTGCTTGATATAGCAAGGCAACTCCTTGTAGAACTTGGCCAAAACAATGATTCTGAAATTGAAGAAAGTAAAGCAAAACTTGAACAGCTAAAGACTGTGTTAGAAATGTAAGTGTCTAATTTTCAGGTTTCATAGCAACAAAATTGCATCTGCTATTTTGACCAGTTACTACTTGGACTGCAATGGCTATCAAATATGTAATGATATATTAATTCAAACACAAGGATTATCAAGAGAAAGGATGTCGTGTTTGACATTTTGAAGGAGAACTGGTCCATCTCTCTGATTTTTCTCCTTATCTTTTTAATTGAACTTAATGCTTTATCTAGTGTCTAAGTATACTTTCTACATGAAAAAAGTTGCTTTCTTTGATCTCAAATTTTATCTTCTTGCATGTTTTTAAAATGAAGGTATTTGAGTGCAGGGTCTGCTTCTTGCAGTGTGTGACATAACGAGGTCTGATTGAGACAGTAAGAACTTTAACCATGTGTACTGTCTACTTGCAGGAAGCTTGGAGGATTCCAAATACCTAAGACTTTGTATATTAAACCTAAAATATTTAATAATTAAAAAAAAACAAAAACAAAACAAAAACCAAACACCTAAGGCTTCAAGGTTTGTTAAAGATCTGGGGTCTCAGAACTCTAAATGGTAGTAGATAATTTGAGTTTAAAAAAAAAAAAAAAACAAGACAAAGACAGTTATTATTGAAATTTATTATGATTGTTTGAAATACTGAGTTCTACTTGAGAACTTAATTGGCTAATAAAATAGCTGTCTACACTGCCAGATCAGATTCTGGGTACTGATAGCCACTGTAGTTGTGGATGTGAATAGATAAATTACTTGTGCAATCTGCAAATGCTTTTTTTTTTTTTTTTTTTTTTTTTTTTTTTTTTTTTTGTTTTTATTTTCTGTGGGGGGA